GGTTTCCATCTGCAGGATCGTACCTGAAGGTTGCAGGATGGAATATTTTGAGGCCTGCAGATGGAAACCAGTGAAGTAAATAAACCAAAATTTCTACTTCAGATTGTGAACGATGTGAAGCGTCTCTGTTTATGGACCATGTGGGGAATGCTAGGGTCTGACTGAGGGAAGAAACGCTGAAGATGTTTTGTTTGTTTTTCAGGGAGAAGAGTTCTACTTTGTTAAATGGAAAGGCTTCCCTGAATCCGATAACACGTGGGAACCCAAAAGGAACCTCAAATGTCCAAAGCTGATGAAACTGTTCCACTTGGACTTGGATCAGGTTCTGAAGAGCCTGAGGAAGCGCAGCATCCCCAAAAGGTTGGACCGAGACGTCACTCTGATGTTAGTTCAGAAAGCCAAACATCGCCAGAGTCTCCAGCGATGGCAAGAGCATTTAAACAAGACTCGCAATCACCCGGGGCGCATCTTCGTCACAAACGAGGTGGACCTGGACGGCCCTCCCAAACACTTCACCTACATTAACAACTACAAAGTGGGCCCCGGCATTGTGCTGAATGAGATGGCCGTTGGCTGTGAATGCAAAGACTGTTTAAAGGAGCCGGTGAACGGTTGCTGCCCCGGGGCCTCGCTGCATCGGATGGCCTACAATGACAAGGGTCAGGTTCGCATCCGGCCAGGACAGCCCATATACGAGTGTAACTCCAGATGCAACTGCGGGCCTGACTGCTCCAACAGGGTGGTGCAGAAAGGGATCCAGTTCGACCTTTGCATCTTTAAGACGGAGAACGGCCGGGGCTGGGGCGTGCGCACTCTGCAGCACATCAGGAAGAACACGTTTGTCATGGAGTATGTGGGAGAGGTGAGACCGGCTCACATGTTTCTATCAACCATCAACCTTAGACTGCATTAATAACTCCTTACCTGATCTGATGAAATGAAGCTGTTTGGCTGTGACTCCATCCTGGAGAGAAATATCAGCTGTGCTGCTGCCATCAACACCTTTGTTTCTAGATGTTGGAGTTGCTTCTATACTTCTTTTTCTATGTCTGCTTGTGTCTCCTT